CCCCCCCCTCCCCAAATCTGTCACCCTGTGCCACCCCCGCGCCCCCGGCGGCCCCGGCTCCCGCCCGGCTGTTTTCTCCTCGTTAATTTTTGATGAGCGGGATGAGGATTCCTCCCGCCGCCTCGCGCGGGCCCCATAACAACGAGCGCCGGTGCCACCCCCGGGAGGCAGCGGGGCCAGAGGGCTGCTGGGGGGGCACGGCCGGGGCACCCCCCCCGCTGCGGACCCCGCCCCCGGAAGGGGAATGTGCCCCTGCACGGGGAACACGCGTGGGAATGCCCAGGAACGGGCCGGCGAGAGACAACGTGTGTGCGAAAACCCAGGGATGGGAGGCACACGGGACGCCCCCCACCCCAAATCTGACACCCCGGGGCCCGGCGGCGTCTCCCGCTCCGGCGGCGCCGATTCGTCCCTGCCCTTCGTTCTCTTCCCACCGTGCCCGGAGCCACCTGTGGGATGGGACAACGGGGGCGAAAAGGAGCTGTTTGCTTTATGCTGCGACTGGGGATACTGGGAGGGGGCGTGGGGGCAGCGGGGGGTGCACCGGGAGGGCGCTGAGCCCAACCCAGGCTCCTGATCCCATCCCCGGCATCCCGGTGCCACCACCGAGGGACCCCAAACCCGGCTGGAGGTGGGGAGAGGACGGGGGGCGGCCCCCCGGCCCCCCTCAGACCGTCTGCCAGTGTCTGATGTGCCCAACTGGAATCACTAATTCCAATAAAGCCGGGCTAGATTAATTTTCATTTCCCCATGCAAATCAGCGCTAATTAGGATGGATTTAGTTCACCTCACAGGGGCTGTGGGGACAGAGGCGGCGGCGGCCGCGGCCCCAGCCGGGCTTTGGGGCGGTTCATCCTCCGCCAAGGATTCGGGAGGGCGGATCCCAAAGCTTGGGGGAGCCGGAGGGAGTTGGGGGGGACCAGGAGGGCAGGGATTGATCCTGATGTTCTGCCCTTCCCCAGGACCCCCCAGGTTTCCTCCCAGGCCCCCAGGATCAGACCCGCTCCCCCAGATCTCCCCCCAAGGCGCATCCCTGCCCCAATCAGTGCCTGGGGAGGATCACTGGACCGGGGGGAGGCAAACAGGGGGAACAGGGGGACAAGGGGGATCTCAACACCCAGAGACCGCGGCCCATCGGGGGTCCGGGGCTGGTTTGCTCGGCTCAGAGCGCGGCGGTGACGGGAGGGGGGGTCCCCAGCGACCCCTCTGCACCCCCTGTCCTCTGACCGCAGGGGTGGAGGCTGTGCTGCCCTGCGCGGGGGCGGGGGGGGGGGCCCAGCAGGATGCGACCACCCCTGGGCACCCGGGGTCTGCCCTCCCTGCAGCGGGGGGGACGACAGCGCATCCCCCCCCTTCAATTCTTCCCGATTCTGCCTTCGCCTCCTGCTTTGCCAAATATTTCCCTAATTCCCGCTGCCCGCGGGCTCCTGTTTGCGCAGGTTGTTGCGGAGCCAAGAAGGGACGCGGCTGCTTCAGAGCAGAGACGCTGCAGACGGGACCCCCCGGGCTCAGAGCTGCCCCCCCCCCCAAAAAGGGCTGGGGTCTCCCCCCCTCCCGCTGCCTGCGACACACGGCTGAGCCCCCACAACCCCCCCAGCTGGGACTGGCGTCCCACGGAGCCCCCCCGGATTTGGGGTCCGCTCAGGCTGTCCCCCACCCCCTCTGGGACAGACCCCAACCCCGGCCCCCCCCAGCTCTGGCTGCAGCCCCCTTTGCCCCTGGCTCTGCTGCCCCCCAAAATCTGCCTTTCCTGGTGCCTCTCGCCCCCAAAGTCCTCTGTCACCCCCACCAGAGGCTGGGGCAGCATCAGGGGGCCCCGGCAGAGAGAAGGGGCTGCGGGGGGCTCGGTGCTGTGCCATGGGGGGGCCATCGCGCGGCTCGGGGGCCCGGGGGCCCGAGGCCACTGCCCGTGGCAAAGAGCCAGCGGCGGTGGCTGCTCCTGCCCTCATTAAATCCCCCGTAACGAGCTCCGAGCCCCGGGGCCCCGCCGGACTCGGGTCATTACGGCTGACAAGGACCTGTCACAGTGGGAGACGTGGCGTGTGCGTGTCCCCAGCCCCGGCACAGCCCCGGGGGACACGGGAGGGGGGGGATCTGCCCCCCAAACCTCGCCGGCACCCCCGGTCCTGCCCTCCGAGCCGGGCGGGAAGGTTCGTGTGTCCCCCCCCCAGGTGCCGGAGCAGGATGGGACCCTCTCCTTGCCCACGCAGGGGATTTGCGGGGACCAGGGACAGAGGGAGGGGAGGCAGAGGGAGAAAGGCAAAAAAGTGGAAAGGAAGAGGGACAGGGAGAGGCACAGGAGCCCCGCCGAGTCCCGGATCCCCCCTCTGAGCTCCCCTCCCAGGAGCCGCCGGGGCCGGGAGCGATGGGAGAGGATGAGGAGCAGAGTCCCCGCTCCAGTCCCCCACGAGGAGGATGAGGAGGATGCGGAGCAGAGCCCCCCCCCTCCCTCCGCAGCCCCCCAGCAGAGCCGCTCCTCCCCGGGAGCCCCCCCGGCACAGATAAGAGCCCCGGTGCTCCCCAGGGCGCGTTTAATCTGGGACAGGACAGTTATTGGATAAATACCATGAATATGGAAATTGCATTTATGCTGATTTATGGCCGGGGGGGCAGGTGGGGAGCGCAGACGCTTTAGTTTAGTTTAATCCATTTATTTCCCTGCCTGGAGATGGAGAACAAGCTCCGAGCGCTGCATCTGCCGCTCCCTGTTCTCGGCGCGCCCCAGGAAGGGGGGGCAGGAGGGGCTGTTCCCCCCCCCTCCCCATCGCGGAGCGGCTCCCTTGGGATGATGTATGGATCCGGCACAAGACCGGTGGGATTTCAATTAATTCCTGGGCCTCGCAGCCTCCTGACCTTTCCTGGGATGAGGAGAGAAATGGAGGTGATTAATCTGGAGGTCAGGGGGGCTCCTCCGGCTGCATCCCCGTGTATTCCAAGGGGTGGGATGGGGGGTGACCCCACGACCCCCCCCCCCCCGCAAACACCTAAGTCCCAGCCAGGCTGGGGGCACCGGGAATGGGAAAACCACGGGAAAACGGGAGAACCCAAACCCTAAAAGCGCTCAGCGGCCGTGACACGGAGGGGGTGCAGAATCCCTTCCCAGCCACCCCCCCCCTCAGGCAGTGACCCCCCCCCACCTCTGCCCGCCCCCCACATCCATCCGGCTGCGCCCCGGGAAGCGGCGGGAGCCGGGATTCGAGGAGGGGGATGCACATGGTGGGGCTGGGAGGGGGGGATGAGGGGCTTCAGCTCTTAATTTCCTATTAACCGCTGATCAATCCAATTAGCTCCCGGCTCTAATGAAGGGCAACCGCTTGGCTGGGACCGGCTCTTCCCTCCCCCATCCCAAAACACATCCCGAAATGCATCCCAAGGAGGGGGGGCGGGGGGGGAAGGGGGGCTGATGGAAGGGGTTTTACCCAATTTTCCAGCTGACTCTAATTAAGTTGCTCTCTTCAGCTGTTAAATTAGCCGGAGCCCTCCCCCCTTCCCAGGGTGCTTCCCCCCTTCCCCTCCCCACCGCCCAGATGCAGCAAATCAGCTGCTCCCTCCCCGCCTCCCGCAGGGCTCCACAAATAAATAAATAGACAATCCCGGGAAAATTAACCGTGTGAGGAGCCGCAAATGAGGTGGAAAATTTTAATGGTCCGGCATTTAAAGCTGTGTGACAGGAGGGGAAGGAGCGGGGAGGGGGGGAACGGGGTGTCGGTCCTGGGGGCTGCCGCCTTCTCCCCCCCGCCGCATTTCCATCCTCCCGGCTGGTGCTGGGGATGCTGGGAATACTGGGAATGGGGGGGGACCCCCAGTGTGGGGGTCAAGCGCCTGCCGCCCACCCCCCCGCAACCCCCGGGACCCCCTCGGCAGCCCCACGGCGGGGGGAAAGACCCCGGGGACCCCTCCCCAGGCCCCCCCGGGGGTCATCGATCCCCCCTCTCCCCCCCCCCCGGTACCGATAACGGGCCGGGGGCTGCCCCACCGGCCGCCCGCCAGGGGGCGCCGCCGCCCTCCCGCCTCATTTGCATATTTTTGCATATATTTACATATATTTGCATACGGCGCGGTCTCGCGGCGGGACGGCAGCGCCCCCGCGCGGCGGAGCCGGGGATGGCCCCGCCCCGCCCACTCCGCAGGCCCCGCCCACCCCTCCCCGCCCACCCCCGCGTTGCCGCGGTTACCGCTGACGTCACGGAGGCCGTGACGTCACGGGGCTCAGCCCCCGCTGCGGGGCCCGGGCACCTGTTCCTGCCCCCCCCCCCTTCCCCTTCCCAAATCCCGCTCCAAGGTCCCGTCCTGGCCCCGCCACCGTCACCTGTCGCCTGCGGCCCCTTTTGGGGCCCCGCCGGGCCCTTCGCCAGCGCCCGGGAACGGGGAACGGGGGAACGGGGCGGGGGGGGCCCGGCCCGCCCCGGCCCCTCCCAGCGCCCCTGCCCGGCTGAGCCCCCGGCGAGGGCACCGACACCCCCAGTGACCCCCCCTTTGGGGTCACCGACACCCCCACGGTGACCAGTGACCTCCCCACACTGGCGCCACCGACCCCCCCAGTGACCCCCCAGCACCCCCAGTGCTCCCCCCCCATTAAATCCACCGAGAGCAGGGGGTGGGCACAGCCTGTATTTGCCAAACCCCGGGTGACCCCGTGCAGCAGCGGGGCGGGACCCCCCCGACCCCCTCCCCAGCATCCCCCCCCCAAATTTGGGGGGCTCCACAGCCAGTCCGGGGGTGCCCCCTGCTTGCACCCCGTGTCTGAAGGCACCAAACTCCCCCCTCCACAGCCCCAGAGGCACCTCCCGCCCCCACATCCCTGTCCTGGGGGGGGTCAGTCCACTCCGGAGCCCCCTTTGCTGCGGGGGCAGCTGAGATGGGGGGGGGCCCGTCCCTGTCCCCGTCCCTGCACCGCAGCCAGGACCCCCCACCCCATCCCACCCCATCCCACCCCATCCCATCCCATCCCATCCCATCCCGGGGTCCCTCCGTCCCCCTCCTGGGGGCCCCCCCCGTCCCCATCCCGGGGGGGTCTCCCACCCCCCCGCAGCCCCTCAGATCTCCTCCAGGAAGTCCACAGGGAACAGCCCCACTTTGCGGCCGGTGAAGACTTTGACGTAACCGTTCACCTCCTCCCCCTTCTGCACCACGATCTGGGGGGGGGGGGGGGGGGGGGGGGGGGGGGGGGGGGGGGGGCCCCCCGGGGCCCCTCCCCCCCGGGGCGGGGGGAGCCCAGGGAAGGGCGGTTCCCACCCGAGGGGCTGGGGGAGGCGGGAAGGGGGGGGAGGGTGTTGGTGGCCGTGGTGCGGCCGTGACGGGGAGGGGGTTCCCCCGGGTGGTGACGGAGGGAGGGGGGGTCCCACCTCACCTGATCCTTCTTGAGCGTGATCTGCCCGATCTCCCGGTTGCCCACGAAGGAACGGGTCACCTTGTGCACCCTCTCGCCCGCCCGCACCCGGATGATGAAGTTGGGGGGGAAAAACCCGACTTTCTCACCGATCTTCCCCTGCAGGGAGGCAGCGAGGGGGGAGTGCAGGCGTGGGGGGGGAGATCCTGCCCAGGGGTCCCGGATCCACCCCCCCCCGCCAAGCTGGGGGTTTGGGGGGCCGTGTCCTCCCCCCTTGGAGCACCACGGGCTTTCCCAGCCTTACCCGCCACCACTCCTCGTTGGAGTCATCGACCACCGTGATCTTCTCCCCCGGCCTGGAAGGGAAAGAAGGGCCCTGTGAGGGGGGTGGGCAGGGCCCCCTCCCTGCGGGAGACCCCAAGGAAAACTGCTCTTCCCATGGGATCAGCTCCTCGAGGCTCGGGGACGGTGAGGGGTGAGCGCAGCCCACGGGGCTTGGGGACAGGCAGGTCCCGGACGGAGCAGCTCAGCCTCGAGAAATCCGTGGGACCACATCGGGCCAAACCTCGGGAGCCTCGGGAAGGAGCCCAGGGCACAGCTGGCAACTCACGGGAAGTCCAGGTCGTCCTTCTCCAGGGCTTTGAAGCGATAAAGTGCCACGAAATAGTGGGACTGCAGGAACGCCCCCGGCTGCGGCTTCTTGTTCTGGGGGGGGGGGAGCACAGCAGAGTTTGGGGTCCCAGAGGCTGCAAACGGCTGCAGGGATCCCAGCAGGGACATCCCACAGCCTCTGGGGTGCAGGATGAGGACGGGGGGTACCTTGTCATCTGTCGGGCTCTTCTCAGCCTTCTTGTCCCCTTCGGAGGCACCTGGGAACGGGAGGAGGGGGGGGGTCACACCTCCCCTGGTGGTGCCTCCCGAGGGTCTCCTCGGTCTATTGGGGGACACAGCGAGGAGGACCTGACCCGGAGACCCCTTTTCTGCAGGGCAGACCCCACCCTGGTGGCCCTCCAAGCACAGTCAGGGCCCCCCCATCCTCAGCCCCCCCATCCTCAGCCCCCACGCTCACCACCCTCGGCTTTGGGCTTCGTGGCCTCTGGCTCCTCGTCCATCATCGCAGCCAAGGGCTGGAGGGCAGAGAGAGCTCTCAGGGGGTGCACAATGCAGGGGGGGGGTTCAGCGTGTTGCTGCAGGAATTCTGGGGAGATCCCAACCCCACACTCACGTTCTTCTTGTCGTCCTGCCCCTTCTTGCGCTCCTTGTTGGCCATGATGACCCCCGTCCGCAGCGTCTCGAACACGGGGTCGCTCCTGTTGTCAGCTGGGGGGGCACAGGGATGGCGGGGGGGGGGTGTGGGGGGTGGGATACCCCGGGGTGGGGACTGGGGGGGCCAGGGCACCCCAAGCACGGGGACTTACCGAGCTGGTCCTTGAGGCAGAGCTGGTCGCTGTAGAGGGGGGAGCTGTAGGCCCGGCGGAACCCGGGGGGCTGCGGGGAGAGGGGGGGGTTGGAGCATCAACCACCCCCCAGACCCATCCCGTCAGAGCTGGGGGGACATGGGGGGGTGCAGAGGGGGAAAACCAGGGCTCCCCTCGGGGCCGGGAGGTGACGGAGGTGGTGGCACCAGGACCCCCCTCCTGGCCCCATGAGCTTCCCGAAAAAGGGGAAACTGTGGCTCCTGAGCACCATGGGGATGTGGGCATCCCGGAGGAGAGCCCAGCTGGGAAATGCCCACCCAGCTTGGGGTGGGGGGGACACACACTCACGATCTTGCCGAAGCAGCGCTGCATCTCCACGTAGGACTGGCAGTGGTGGTGGATGTTGGTCTTGCAGTTCTTGCACCTCAGGCCAAATTTATTGTTGACTGGCAGCGGGGGTGTGGAAAGGAGAGGGAATGTGACACTGCAGCTGTGGATCGGCCGGGACAGAGCCCTGGGCAGCCTTGGTCCCCAGGCCCTGCCCTGGCTCTGGCCGTGGCCCCCAGCCCCTCATCCTGGCCCTGGCTGTAGCCCCCAGCCCTCATCCTGGCCCTGGCTGTAGCCCCCAGCCCTCATCCCAGCCCTGGCTTCCAGCCCCAGCCCTGCCCGTGGCCCCCCAGCCCCGCCAGGACTCACGGACGATCATCCGGGCACAAACATCGCAGAACTTGGGTTTTTTGAAGTAATGATCTTTGAACTTGTGGGGTTTGTCGTTGACGAGTTTCTCGGGCTCGGGAGGGGGCTCGGGCTCCTCCTCCTCTTCCTCCTCTTCCTCGTCCTCATAGATGTAGTAGATGGGTCCCCCCGAGGGACTCACCAGCTCCCCGTTGGGCTGCGGCTCCGGCACCGGCTCCTCCTTGGGCTTTCGCTGGAAAAGTTGCTTCAGCTTCTGCAGCTGCTGGGGCAGGAGAGGGTGGATGGTGCGTGGCAGGAGGGCAGAGAACCTGTGCCCAGCTCCTCACCCCACTGCCCTGACCCAGAGGAAGGAGACCCCAGGAATGCTGTGAGATTGGGGACCCCCCTCCTGGCCCCATGAGGTTCCCACAAAAGGGGAAACTGCGGCTCCTGAGCACCTTGGGGACACGGGCATCCCGGAGGAGAGCCCAGCTGGGAAATGCCCGCCCAGCACCAGGTGGGTCAGGGTCCCAGCAGGCACCCCCAGCCCTCCCAAGCCTCCTGGGGCAGCGGCAGGATGATGCCAAGAGAGGTGGCTTCCCCCCGTGGCACCCGGTGGGCACCCACTTACCCGGCTCTTGGGTTTCCCACCTGAAGCCGGGGCAGCCGCTGGCTCTGGCACTTCCTTCTCGGTCATGCTGGGAGGGGAAGGGAGAGACAAAGCTGGGGCTGGTCCTGCTGGAGGTGCCCAGAGTGGGCAACCTTGTTGGGTGGGCACTGCCCGCCCTTCCCCTGCAGCCCCCGGTCCCACTGCCCATCCCACAGCCCCTGTCCTGGCAAGGCCTGGTTCTGCCCTGGGGTCACTCTCACTGCCCATCCTGCGGCCCCTGCCCCAGCGAGGGGTGGTTCTGGCCCGGAGAGCCCCAGGGCCAGGCTGGAGGAGGCCAATGCCCAGCCCAGTGCCCAGCCCAGCGCCTGGCACGGCCGCTGGCTCGGGGCCGTGGTGCCAAGTGCTGTGAGCCAGCCCCTGGGCTACCTGCACGTGCCCACCTCTGCCTGGGCATCTCCATCTCACCATCAAACCGCAAACGGTGCCGCTCCTGCCACCTCAGGACAGGCACACGGGTGACACCGACGGGCATCACCCAGCTTTGGGCTGCCACCGGGGCAGGACCTGCCCTTGCATCCCCCGAACCATCCCGATGCCACCTTTGACGACCCCCCCACGCAGCCCTTCCACCCAGACTTGGCTGCTTTTGGTGACACCCACCCCGAGCCCCCCCCCGGGCCTCGTGAAAACCGAGGAAAAACCATCGGGAAGCAGCGCTGGGGCGCATTGGGGTGAGGGAATGGGGCACCTCGGAGTCCTGCAGCAGCACGGGGGGGGCCCACGGGGGTCACGGCCGCGACGAGGAGGAAGGGGGGGGGGCAGGCAGGGGGAACCCACTTACCCTGTGCTTGGAGGCCTCGCCCCGCGCTGCTGAACCCCCCCGAGGGGCGGCCGGTGCCGGTGCAGAGCCCCCAGGCCCCCGTGGCGGGCGCGGGGAGGGCGGCAGCCGCCGCGGTCCCGTGGCCAGCGGAGTGACAGGGCAGGGGGGGACGACAGCTGAGCGCTGCCCGGGGGCTGACGCCGGGAAATTGGAGCCCCGGCGTGCGCCCGGGCGGGAGCGGGCGGAGGAGCCACCGGCTATTTGCGTTGGTGGGTTGCTGGGCGTGCCAGGGGCTCCCCCCCATCCTCCCCGAGCCTGGCATGGGACGGCGGAGGGACCGGGCACAGCGGGGGCTCCGGGAGTTTGGGCGCTCCGAGGGCTGCGGGCTCCGGCCTCGGGGCACCCTTGGCTCGTGAGAACCGGAGCCTGGGCGGGGGGCACGGGGCAGAGGGGCAGCAGAGGGGTCTCTCGAGGGGCAGAGGGGTCTCTGGAGGGGCAGAGTGGCAGCAGAGGGGTCTCTGGTGGGGCAGAGTGGCAGCAGAGGGGTCTCTCGAGGGGCAGCTCGTGGCTGCCTCGGCACCCTCTGGCACCAAATCCCGCTGGGACGAGGTGATGGGAGCCCAGTGCTGCCAGGCTGCCTGTGGTGTGGGACAGGGCCCTGGAGGGGCATCCTGGGGTGCCCACAGTCCCTGCCCAGCTGTGGGGGGCAGCGAGGTGGGAGCTGGTGCAAGGCTGGAGTTGGAGCCCCCCCTTCCCACCTTCTCTTACCTGCGCTGGGAGCTTCCCACTGCTGCTGGAGGCTCTGGCTGTGCCACCGAGGCTGTGCCAGCCCAAATCCTGTCCCCACCTGACCTGTGCCAGCTCCTCAGTCACCAGGAGCATGTTGCTTCCCGGCAGGGGACACTCCATGCCCTCATTCCTGCCCTGGCACAGCTGGATGGGGCTGGCAGCTGAGAGAAGAGGCCGTGAACATCTGCCAGGGGTCCAGCCCCAGGCCAAGCACTCTAATCCCAGCCTGGGCTCCCCACAAGCTTGTAGCCCTCAGACAGGCCAACACAGGGGCAGGACTGGGCAGGACACATCCCCTTCCAGTGCCCCTTCCACTGTCTCCTCACCCCAGAGCCCCCAGCCCTTGGCACTGGCAGAGAACGGGAAAGTCACGTTCGAGCGACGGACAAATTTTCTTTTTTTTTTTTTTATTTAAAAACAACCCCCCCCCCGAAATAAAATAAAACCAAAAATACCCCCTCCCCCCCTCCCAAATAATAATCCGATTAAATAAAATGTGCAGTGAACATACCAATCAACACCTGTATGTGCGGCCCAACACAGTGCTTAAACAAAACCAGAGACACGGGGGAGGGGGGGGGCGGGCACGGGGCGTCACTCCAAAAAAATAATAATAATTAAAAAACAAAACAAAACAAAAAAAAAAATCAACTTCTCGTCTCTTAATTATGTTCATATAAATATATCAAGGAAGGAGGGCGAGAGGAAGGGAGGGCGGGAGGAGAAGAGGCCCAGGGGGGTGCCCGGTGCCCGCGGGAGCCCTACTGGGAGCTGGCCCGCTCCAGCACCCGCAGGTCGTAGTTCTTTTTGGCCACGCGCAGCTTGAAGCGGCTGAGGGAGTTGTTGAGGCGGAGGGAGGCGTTCTGGGCGGCCAGCGGGCTGGGGAACACGGCCACGATGGTGTATAAGGCAGCGAGGTCACCGTGCCTGCCGTTCTCCGGAGTCCCGCTGTTGTCCCCGCCGCCGCCACCGCCGTCCCCGCGGCGCCCCTGAGTCTCTTTGAGCCACTGGATTTTGGCACCGGCCATGGCGAGCTGGGTGAAGAGCTTGTCGGCCTCCGTCCGTGTGATGCCCTCGGGCAGGTCCGTCACCTCCAGCACCCGGCCCAGCACTGCGGGGAGAGGGGACGAGTCACCGGCTGGGTCCCGGTGCCCCGGGAGCCCTCCCGGGCTGGAGCACCCACCTCTCCTTGGCCCGGGAGTGCTGCGCTGTGCCAGGCTGCCCCCAGGTACTTCTCTAAGTCAGTCGCTTCCCCCAGACTGCCCCTGCCTGCTCCCTGCAGTGCCCAGTCCTGATCCCTTCCCTGCTTCAGGAGGAGATGGGCATTGCCCAGTGTCCCAGGGCTCCAGCGACACCGAGTCCTTCTGGTGTCCTTTGGATGGCCTTGGCTGGGCAGTTCGGGCTCTCCCAGGGGCTCTGCCCTGTTTTCCTACCCCAAACCTCAGGGACCAGGACTGGGAGCCGACCCTGTGCTCCCACCCTGAGGCTGCACCCACAGAGGGCAGCGACACGTGGCTGTGCCCCGCCCAGGGGTCCCCAAATCCCGCAGCAGCTCCTGCCCCAGTCCCTGCCTGGTGGTCCCCGAGCCCCCGTGCAGCTCCTGGCTCCAGCCCTGGCTCCAGGCTTAGCAGAGCTGCCGAAGGGATTCTTTGCTAATATTAACGTGGCACAGCCAGGCCATGCCAGGGGCAGGGAGGGGCCCTTAAAGGGCCCCCTGCAGCTGGTGGTGACACGGAGGTGACGTGGGGGACAAGCCCGAGGCCTCCAGAGGGTCAGTGAGGGCTGCTCCGGGTCCCTCCCTCCCCAAGGACCTTGTGGAGACCCCCAAGGTGAGGGACAGGCAGGAACTATCCCCAAAAGCAGCACAGGGTCCTGTGGGATGCTGGTGTGGGCATCTGGAGCCTCCAAACCCCGTGTGTGTGGACATCAGAGGGCAAAGGGAACCTCCTGAGGGGGTCACTTGCCTACGTCACTCGTGCCCAGGTCGGTGGACGCCGATTTCAGGGCCTGTCTCTTGCTGCGGTTCCCGTGTTTCATCCCAGTCTGCCCCTGGAGGGGTGAAAAGGGCTCCATGTCACCTCGGGGGACCCCCGTGGCCTCCCGGGGAAGGGGCCTGTGCCACCCCCGTGGCCCGGCTGTACCTGGTGTGCCGTGTAGCCGGGCTGGTTGTGGAGCAGTGGCGGGGGGCAGAGGGACAGGTTGTACTGCAGCGGTTGGCCCAGCAGCGAGTACCGCCCGTCACCTGCGCGAGGAGCAACGTCCGTGGGGACCCCGGGAAACACCAGGGGATTCCCAGGAAACCCCTGGGCCGGCCCCACACACGCCTCCCCCCCTTACCTTGTGCCGGGCCCATGGGCCGGGGGAACTGGGTGAGGACAGGGAGGGGGCTCAGCCCCGTGCACACACTGTTGAGGTTGGTGACGGGCGACGGCGTCGGGGACTGGGTGGGGGACGTGATGGGGCTGTTCAGCTGAGTGCTGGCCTGGGGGAGGGACAGTGTCAGACACCCCCGGGGCTCGTGACCCCCCCCACTCCGTCACCCAGCCCACCCCAGAGGCTGAGCCGCCTCCTCCCCGTCCCTCCCGGTCCGCCCAGTACCTGAGCACTGGTGTCGGGGTTGTAGAGGTCTCCCGGCTTCTGCCCCCGCTGCTCCAGGCTGTAGTACTTACAGTGGCTCCACTGCACCACGGGGGGGTTCTGGGGGGCCTGGGGGCCGTTGGGGACATTCAGCTGCATCACCACGACACCGGGGCCTGATGGGGACACCCCTGGGGACAGACACAGGAGCGTCCGGCCCGGGCTCTGCTGCTGTGGGACCTGGGGCACCTGCCTGTCCCTGCCACTGCACGCCCTTCCCTATGATCCCCCTCTGGACTCTTCTCCTCTGCAGTTCCAGCCTTTCCCAGGCTGAAAAAGCCCCACCAGGATCCGCTGGGGATCCCTCTCCTCTATGCCATCTTACATCAGGGAGTGATGATGTTTAATCTGGGAGAAATGGGAGCAGGGGGGACAAGCTGATGGGTGGCAGCTCAGTGGCTGCTCTGAGTGTCGCTGCAGGACTCCGAGCACAGAGCTGGGCACAGAGCTCCAGCATCCCAGCACAGACCCTGCAGCTCACCAGGCCCAGAGCTCCACAATCCCAGCCCAGCTCCTGCACCGGCTCCCAAGGCCCCACCTTGCTCCCAGTGGCTGGGACAGGGAGCAGGAATCCTGAGGCTCCTCACCCACAATTCCTCCCGCTCTCCCCAATCCACAGCCCACCCAGCTCCCTCTGCCACTCCCACCCCGCCGCCCTCCAGGGCAGGGAGATGCCAGGCACAGGCCAGTGCCACCCTGGTGCCGCATCCTGATCGTTCCCAGTGGGATTCCCAGCCTCAGGAACCCCCTTGCACAGACGGACTCGGCTGCGAAGCGGCAGCTCCGCCGCCCGCGATCCAAGAGCTGATCCCACCTGGAATTGGAGCCAGCCCTGCCCCTCGTACCTGAATACTGCTGCTGCATCTGGGGGGGGCTGCAGGGGGCCGGGGACTGTGGCATCTGGTACTGCTCGGAGCCGGGAGGCTGCAGGAACCCCACGGACGGGCTGAGGAGCAGAGAGGGAGCAGGTGAGGGCGGGGATGGGGAGGGAAAACCCCGGGAGGTCTGTACAGGTAACTCCCAGCTCCCTCTGTACTGGGATGGCTGGACACACAGGAGCCTCTGGAGAGGGCTGGACACACAGGAGCCTCTGGAGAGGGCTGGACACACAGGAAGCCTGGCGTGCTGGGGGCCAGGAAACCCTGGATATGGGAGGCAGGGCTCAGGGAGGAGCAGCTCCTGTGGTGCTCGACCACCTCCAGCTGCAGGAACAGGACGCTCCCCCCTCTCAGCAGGGCACGGAATCATCCGGTGGAATCGTGGAATCCCCCGATTGGAAGGCACCCACAAGGAACATCAGGGCTGTCTCCTGGCCCTGACAGGACACCCCCAAAACTCCCTCTGTGGGCAGCAGCCCCCCCCTCTCCCCAGGGCAGAGGAGCTGTACCTGGTGCCGTTCTGCTGGGCAGTGGGGATGACGCTGTAGTAGATGGGGACCCCCCCAGCCTGGAGCCCCCCCTGCACAGACTGACTGGCTGGCACGAGCACTGGCTGCTGGAAGGGCTGCTGGACCACGCTCTGGGACTCACTGGCCATGGGAACCTGGGCAGGCAGGAAAGCAGCAGGTCACAGGTCACATGGAGCAAGAACTGGCCCAAAGAGACCCCGGCAAGGGGAGGAGATTCCAGGGGGTGTTTTCCTGCCCAGGCAGGGCAGCCCCTCCCAAGCTCCTCTCCCTGTCCTCCTGCTCCAGACGTGTCCCACAGATTCCCACATGGATGTGCCCTCCCCAGGGTGCTCTCCAAGTGGGTCATCCCCACCTCTGGCTCCAACCCTCAGGCACAGGGACGGGGCACATCCTGCCCACTGGGGTCCCCTCCCAGCCCCCCACGCTGGAGAGCAGCTGATGCCCACCTGGTACGAAGGCAGCGGCGTGTACTGGACCATCAGGCCTTGCATCTGGCTCCCCATCCCACTCCTCTGGCTGCTGAGGAGCCCGGGGGGCTGTGCCTGCTGCACCCCCATCACGCTCTGCATCTGGCCCCCCATGTTGTTCCTCTGGCTGTTGAGGAGCCCGGGGGGCTGCGCCTGCTGCACCCCCATCACACCTTGGTATGTTTGCTGCTGGTTGGACATCATTGGCTGTAAACCTGCCAGAACAGGGCTTCAATGGAGCAGCTTCCCAGCTGGACGTGGGAAACAGCCCCAGATTTGGGATATAGGGGCTCCAGTCCTGCTCTGCCCCCACCTCCTGCTAAAGAGTGGGGAATGGGCTTCCTTAGGGCAGGTGTAAAAACACCTGAGGGAAGCTCCTGGCTTTAAATCCACCTCATCCCTGCTCCAACAAGCTGGGAGGAAAGGGAGGGGAAGGATTCAACAGCCTCTACAGGCCAGGATCCAAATTCCCAGCCGAGAGACAGGTCCAGCAAAGAGCGGGAGACGGGGAAGAGCAAACCCGGCCCCAGAGAGCACATGGGAGATGCTTAGAGCCACAAAAGCAGCAGAAAAGGGAAAGCTGCCCTCCCTTCCCCCTTTCCACCCCCTTACCTGGCTGCTGGGACTGCTGGGGGAGCTGCTGTGGGCGCTGGGAGCTGTAGGCCACTGGGTGACTGAGGGGTCGGTATTGCTGGCTGGAGTTCGGGTACTGCCCGGGGGGGTAGTAAGAAACCTGAATCTATCAAGGGCAAGAAAACACAGGTGGTGAGAAACGCAGGAGGGAGGGGATCCAAGAAAGCTGGTCCCCCAGGACCAGTTTTCTCTCTCACCTGGCCTGGCTTCTGCCGAAGGGAACCACCCAGGGCTTTGGCTCTGGTGGGGAACCGCGGCCCCTTCCCGCGCCTCCCAGCCTCCTCATCCAAGCCTTTCCCAGCACAGTAGTGCAAGAGCACAGTAGGCACAACTCTCTCCTCACAGCTCAGGGGGCAGTCCTAGAGGTCATAAAGCCCTGCAGGACCCCAAAGAGAGCTTAGAGGTGTCAGCCCTGAGTCCCTCCCCCACCACTGAGAGCCGGGAGTGGTCCCCAGGCAGGAGCCTCGTGGGCTCAGAGGGACACAGGGGACAGGGACCATCCTGTGCCTAGCAAGGGAGGGTGAGACCCGCAGCTTGGACCCCTGGGGATGGATCCATCACCAACGAGCAGCACACAAAGAGGGGCCCACTCCCCCGCAGCCCCTGCCAGCTCTGGGGACGTCCCCTCGTGTCCTTACTTGCTGGGGAGGCTGAATGTAGCCCTGGGGCTGCAGCACCTGCTGAGTGGGGGCCGTGTGCCCCGAGGTGGAGTAGCTGGAGGTGGGGATGGGCTGCCCAGGGGTTGCCATGATGAATCCTGTCTGCTGAGGGTGCTGGGAGATGAGGGACGACTGGAACATCGCCGAGGAAGGATCCGGGGCCTCCGTGGAGCCCTGTCGGCTGAGGCTGATCTGCCCAAAGGGGCTGCTGAGCTCGTCGGCCTGGAGGGGGACAAGGGGAAGGATGGAGGAGGAGGGCAGAGTGTGGGACAGCAGCACATGGCACACAGCTCTGCTGAGGAGTGCAGACCCCTGCTCTGCGAGGAGCTCCCCCAACACAGGCCCCCAGACACGAGCCACAGGCCCAGGGCAGGATGGGGGGACATGCGACCTGCTGGGGGGGCCTGATGCTCAGTGGACACTCAGTGACACAGGCAGGGGTGACCCCAGGCCACAGGCCACGTCCCGTGGGCCACACCATTCCCAAAAGATCCCGGTGGAGACAGCACAGGGCCTGGCTGAGCCCCCGGGGCAGCCACGGCTCCCAAACCCCAGCACTGGGCACAAGCATCGCTTCCCGGGGAGCTCTGGGCTTGGAATTTGCTTTTCCCAGGCTCTTTGCAAGACTGCCACTCCGGGATGGGTGGTGCCACAGCCTCGGGAATCCCAGTGCAGCACAGAGCTCCGTGAATCCCAACCCCAGGGGGGGTCAGAGTCCGGGACATACCCGATCAGCACAAGCTCACACAACACAAACACAGCACAGAGCACAACAGAGAGTGCAAGAAGAGGAACTGGGGTTTATACCAGGTTGTACTGCTGGGGTGGAGAGACTGGCAAGAGGACTTGGGGGCAGGAGCTTGGAGAGTACGGAACAGGCTGCAGCGCCGGGACCGGCTACGACCAGCGGAGAAGGGAGGAGAGAGATCCGGGGGAAAAGGAGGGAGAGGGAAAGGAAGGAAGGAAGGAAGGATGAGGAGGAAGGAGAGAAAGAAGGAACAACAAGGTTAGTCAAGTGAGCCAACTGCAAACACACAGAGGGGCAGTGCAGGGGTTGGGAAGCACGGAGACCATTCCGGGGCAGGATCCATCCCTGTGGGAGGGTCTGCGGAGCCTGGGAGGGGGTGGCCGGTCCCAAAGCAGCTCTTGCCTGGCAGGAGCAGTGGCACGAGCTCACCAGGGCCCAGCAGCAGCAGCAGGGTCACTTCTCCCCACACAACACTCAGGTCTCTCCCATTTCCAGCAGTCCCTGCAGTGCTCCTTGGCCATTCCTGCTGGGAATGCCTTCCCTGCCTGCTCGCCTTCCACAGGGACCCCACTTTGTCACCCAGAGGACCTGCTTTATGACAACCCCACACTTTGTGCTTTGGGCATCGACCCTGTGGTGGTCAGTGCTGGAAGGGGGGTCAGTCCTCTGACTGAACCTTTGGTGACACTGAAGGGACATGGATGTGGGGACAGTGCATTTCCAGACCCTTCACCAACACTCCAACACCTGAAATCAGTTTTTCCAGGACCTAAACCATCAGAGCAGAAAGTACAAAATAAAAACACCAGCACGGCCCAGTGATCCTGCAGCAGGACAGGGTCTGTCACAGGGGCAGGGGCAGAACAAGTCCTTAGGAATGACATCCACGGGTGCTTTCCAGAGGGTTCCACCCCTGGGAACAGCCCAGCAGGCTGTGGGACAGCAAACATCCCCTGGCTTTAGCTTGGGGAGGGTCTGGAGGACACACCCAGCTCAGCTCCAGGAGCCTCCCCCAGGACATCAGGAGACCAACCAAGGGGAGCTCAAACCCAAGGACCAGTCGAGACTGTCCCGAGGGAAACTGGTTCCAGTTTGCCACTCATCCAAAGACTACAGACCCTTTTCCCAAAGGGGCTGCTGGCCCGAGCAGATCAGAAGGGGCTGGGAAGCTGGGATAACATCCCACGGAATCACTCAGGCACAGCACAGCCCCCGACCTCCCCCTGCTCCGCCACAAGCACGGAGGGACCGCCACCGTGGGGACCCCCAAAACCCAGGGGTGGGCCCAGAGCCCCCCCGGGGTGTCCTGTGTCCCTGCTCCCCCCCCCCCGTGCAGTGAGTGACTCACCTGGGACATCATGGGGTTGCTCATGGCCGGTGGTTGCTGGGCTGGGGGGGGGATGCCGGGGGGCTGCGGGGGTGGTGGTGGGGCCGTGCAGGGCAGGAGGCCACGGCTGGGCTGCGAGGACGGGGACTGGCTGCACCCCTCCGGGGCTCCTAGCACCAAACCTGCAACAGGGACAGGCACGGAGGGTCGGCACACACAGGCTCGGGGGGGTCCTGCCACCCCCAGAGCTCCCAGGGGTCCAGGGGAGCAGGCAGAGGGATGAGGTGCTGGTTGGACTCTGCTCACAGCAAAGCCAGGGGCTGACACTGCTGGGGGTTGTACATCCCTCCTCTCCACGGCCAGGGGCACTCACTGACCCTCCAAGGCTGATCCCGGGATCTCCCCACGCAGGGAAGGAGAATCCGGCTGCCAACGGCAGCACCCGCCTGGAGGAGGCTCCACACCCCCAAACAAGGCAGGAATCCCAAAATCAGGGAGCTGCCAGGTGTCAGCTCAGCACCACGGGATGGGGGGAAGGAGCTGGGGAAGCTCCAGTCCCAGCTCAGCTCTGGGCACAGCCACCAGCACCAACCTGAGTGCCCAGGGCAGAGAGGGGAGTGCAGGGACCCCGTTCTGTGGGGACCCCATTCCGTGGGGACCCCATTCCGTGGGGACCCCATTCCATGGGGACCCCATTCCATGGCCCCACAGACCCCTGAGGAAAAGGCTGGGAAATGGCAAGCTGAAAGCAAGCCCCTTCCCATGGCAGGCAAAGCTGGGAAGGAGCCTGGTGCACACACTGCTGGCACCCAGCTGGGAAGGGTCTCCTCAGTATTCCAGCCTTACTTCCAGAAATAAAAGGGTTGTGCAACTATTGCTTCGTGCCCAGTGGCTGCTGTTTAACCAGCTCTGCCTCTGATCTCCCACATTTCCACAGCTGATCTCCAGGGATTCTGCTGAGGAGCTCTGTCAGCAGCCACTTGCTGCAAAGGAAGGAATATTCCACTGACAGTTGCCCAGGGGCTGGATGCTGGGATGGGAAAAGAGCCCCCAAGTCCCAGGCACTTCCAATCCCATGGAATAAACATCAGGATATGGAGGAAGGTGGGTTTGGTGTTTTTCTTCCTCAAGTGATAATTCCTTTGCCTGTTTTTTTTTTTCTTTCTCCCAGGATGCTTCTAATCATCTGCCCTTATATAAAGCCTGGAAAGCAACTGGCTTCTGTTCCCAGGGGAGACCTGGAGGGAAAATTACAGGAAGAGCCAAAAAGCAGCTCCTCTCTCGCTCTGCTCTGCACACGTTGGGACAGATCTTCAAATGAGTGCTCCCAGCACCCCATGAATCAGTCCTGGAGGTGGCTGGAACACCCAGAGCGAGCACAGCCCTGGCACGATGGGAACAGGATCCCGGGAGACACCGTGGGCACCTCCAAACTGGGACAGGAAGGTGTGGTTCCAAAGGCTGGGTGCTGGGACACGGCCCAGGAGCCTCTTAAATACATCCCTTTTGGTTGAAAGGGCTCCTGTAGAGCAGTTATTACCCACGCTCTGCCTCTCCTCCTCAGGAAAAGGACAGTTCCCAAAGATTTGGGACTTGCTGCCAACCAGTGGGAATGGAGGACAGTGGGACAACACTGGATTCTGCTCACTGACACATCAGCAGCTCCCCCAGCTGTCACCAGACTAAAATGGGAACAAAACCCACGTTGCCCCTTCCACAAACACCCTTCACAAGCAGCAGGTTGAAAATTATGGGTTCTGCTCCTCCCTGTCCGAGGGGAGCAGAGACATTCCCTGGAACACCCAGGACACACATCCCTTGGGAAGCTGCTGCCAGGAGCAGGTCACCTGTGGCACCCCCCAGGAACATCCCCCGTGGGCTCTGTGGTACCTGGCCAGACAAGGAAGGACTGAGCTGAAGCAGCAGAGAGACTTGGGATCCTAATTCCCTTTGGCTCCCAAACCCTTGCACCATCCCCAGCAGCTCTGGAGCTCGGGCCCAGCTCCAGCTGCTGTTTGCTCCCAGGAGCTCTCAGTGAATCACTCTGAGAACGTCGTGGGCAGATCCCAACTAACAGAGTCTTTGTCTGACAGTTGTGTCTGATGAGACTCATTGGTGACACCTTTCCCTGCCCTCCTTGGAAAGCAAGGCACAGTGCCAGGAGCTTCACCCTGAGCTGGGAAGGGTTTTGGGAGCAGAAGGGAACCCAACTTGGGGGCACAGCAGGGGAGAGAAAACCACGAAAACTGGGAGTTTGAGTTGCAGGGGCTGGGATCAAACGCTGTCCCTCGTCCCAGGTACCTGATGGAGGGATGGCAGAGGTGACAGTGACAAAGCAGGCGATCAACCAGGTGGCACAACCGAGATCCCGGCGCCAGCCACGTCCTGTTTTTACAACCAGGGGCACCACCAGCCCCAGTTCCCCCTGCCCGGCACACAGGGGAAGCAGGACCTGCCTGGAGAAGCGGCTCTGTACCTGCCCGGGCCGTCCTGCTGGCAGTGCTGCCCTTGCTGCTGCCCACGCTGTCCCCCCTGGTGAGGATGGAGATGCCACTGAAGCTGCTGGCCTTGGTGACGGGCGGCCTCAGGGCGCGCATGGAGCCGTCGGAGTCGGTGCTGCTCCAGGGCCGCGGCTCCAGGGCCTTCAGCTCGCTCTCGGTGCTGCTCTGGCGGCTGCCCGAGGCCCGGCCCAGCCCCTCCCGGGGGCCCCTGTGGAGAGCACGAGTCACTGGGGGGGCTCTGGGGAAGGGGCAGCAGCAGGGTGAGGACACTCTGCTGTCCAAACCCCAGTGCAGGGTGAGGGGACACTGAGCTCTGGGTCTGGGACCCTCGGGGGGGGGAAAAATCTGACAGCAAACACCCCCCCAGGGCACAGCTCTTTGGGCATCACCGTGAAGAGCCGGGGCTCCCCTGGCTCCTGGCCCCTTCTCCAGCCAGATCCAGCCATGGGAGGGGCCCAGCAGGATCAGAGCAGGATGCTGTGCTAAAACTCTCCCTGTCTCGGAACAGGGAGCTGTTAAAGGCCTGGAGATCTTAGAGACCACTTCCCACCCCAGCCCTTGGGAGGATTTCTGCCCAGCTGGCACAGTTTGCACAGAGCTGTGGCTGTGCCATCCCTGGAAGTGCCCAAGGCCAGGCTGGATGGGGCTTGGAGCAACCTGGGCTGGTGGAAGGTGTCCCTGCCCGTGGCAGGGGCTGGAACAGGATGAGTTTTAAGGTCTCTCCTACCCCAAACCATTCCAGGATTCTGTGACACTGGAATATTGCTGCACCCAGAGCTGTGCCCCCACTGATCACCCTCCCTCAGCCCAGGCCAGGTCTGGCCACAGCAGGACTTTAGGGAACATCAGCACAACAATGTCCCAAGCAGTGAGCCTGGTTTGTCCCAGGAATGGGTTCCTGGGCTTTCCCTAGGGAATGCCACACTGGAAGAGCTGCTCCACACAGTTGTGGAGGGGAAAAGAGAGGCTTGGAACTCCTGAGGTGATGTCCTGGGCTGTTGGGAGCACGTGAGAGCCAAAAATCCATCTCTTGGAAGAGCAGTGCAATGGTTATATCCCTAAAGAGCTCGAAATGGTCCTGAGGCCCACGAATCCTCCCTCTCCCACCCAGGGGAACCCCAAAGGCAGGTTCACTGAGCTCTTCAGGGCCTGGGCACCACAGGCAGGGAAGCCCCTGGCACAGCCCTGGCTGAGCTCAGCTCCCAGAGCTGCAGCCACATCAGCAACGGGGCTTTTGCCACATTCTGGGGGAGTTTTACTCCAACCCCCAAGGACTGAGAACTGTCCCCCTGCCCCAGGCAGACTCCAGGACACGGTCCCTGTGACTGTGCTGAGGACACTGGATTTTCCAGGACAGCCTCAGGCAGGTGACAGCCCAAGGAGAGGGACAAAGCTGCTGCTGACCCATCAGATCCTCCTGTCCTGTCCCACACAGAGCTGCCTCGTGTCCAGAGCTTTGGCTGTGCAGGCAGAGCACAGCAGGGATGAGACTCTCCCTTTTCATCCCATTCTTTATCCTCAGCCCTCGGCAGCCTCTGGCAGTGGGGTCTGTGCCAGGTGACTCACCAGCCTGACTCCAGCCCTTTCATCCATGGGAAAACTGCTCCCTAAGAACGTGTTCCCAGTGCCCTCAGCAGCTCCTCTGGCTGAGATGGAGCCTGAGACACTTCACTGCCACCATTAAGTCCCCCAGCTTTGATAATCCAGGATTAGGGACAGCCCTGCCTGATCCTGATGCTGATCCTGGCACTGTAAGGGCAGGGATTTCCCATCCTTTTGGGAAACAAGAGGTGGAATGGTTTGAAAACTGCTGGAATTCCTCCCTGCCATTCCCACCCTCCTTTTTAGCTGAGGAACCAGCCAAAAAAGGACTCAGAATTGATGTTGCAAAGAAAACACCTTCAGTAACTCCACGAGCAGCCACTGATGGGGGGGGCTGCTCCACACGGGGCAAAATAAACCACAGGGAGAGACCTAAAAATCTGCCTCTGTACAAGCAAAGCCTTCTGTGGAGAGCCTGCCAGAGAAAAGCATCATCTCAGAGTCGTGCAGGGCTCTGGGGACCCCCCCAGGGCTGGGCAGCACTCACCTGCTGTCCGTGAGGAATCCGTTCTGGCCGGACTGGGAGCGCGACCACAGAGGTGGGAAGGGAAGGAAAGAAAAGGGAGACTTAGTGGCTCTGAAAGAACGACCCCAGGGCATTTCAAAGGGTGGGGCTGGGGCTGGTGGTGTGTTGTGAGCAGGTACAGGTTGCTCAGGTGTGGTGCTGAGCCTCCTGATCCCTGTGGATCTCCATCCAGGCCCTTGGGAACCTTCCCCGACACCTGCGACCCAGGATCTCTCAAATCTGAGCCCTCAGCTCCCTCCTCCACTGCTCTGAGGCAGCTCTGGTGGCACCTTCCTCCATGTGACAATCAGGGCCAGGCATTTATTGCCAGGAAAACCAGGCAGTGGGCTCAAGGCCAGCCCAGCCTGATCCATGCTGGTCATCCCTGCCTCTGGAAGGCAGAGGCAAAGCTGGCTCAGGCCAGGACACCGAGCAGGAGCCAGGACATCCCAATCTGTGCTGTCCCTAAGCCAGGACTTTGGGCCTGTGCAGGTAAGACAAATCCCTGACCACCCCTGGCTGGAGAGTGAGAGGCACTGAGCTCAGGGAAGGCACAGATTTCCCTGGAAAGGCCACATTCCTCCTGGAAAGGCAGAGCCCTGCACTGCTGGGTCAGGAGGTGGGAGCTGCAGCGCTGGGGAGATGCAGCTGCTGCTCCTTTTGGGTTCAGCAACTTGTTCTCTGGTCATCCCAAAACTGCCACTGCATAAAGCTGTGATCTTTGGGGCAGCAAGGAGCAGAACTGCCTCCTCTGTCACCTCTGCTGCTCCCTGAAATTTTAGGGAAGCTGCAGACTTGGGGGGGGGCGGGTGTGGCTCCTCTACCCCGACATCTCAGACACCTTTGCTGGGAGCTGGAATTCAATGGCAGATCCCAAAACCACTGGGAAACTGGTGGGAAAAGCAACAATGAGATCTGACCTCTCGGCACTCTCAAGGCCAACTTCTGCCCCAAAGCTCCGGGAAGCTCCTGGCAGGGGAGGGATCCAAACTCACCTCTCGCGCAAAGATCCGCTCCCTGACCCGCTGATATTCCTCCTCTCGCTCTTCTATGGATTTGCTCCTTCTCCCATCCTGCAAGGGGAGTCTGATCTGAAGGGACAAACACAGCTCAGGGGTCAGCAGTTGCCAGCAGGAGCAGGGGGAGCAGTCAGCTGCTGGGAATGTCGGGCAGGAGGTGGATTGTGGAGCCTGGAGGTGACCCGGCCTCTGCCTCCGCACCCACCTGTGTCTGGGGATGAACATCCCACAGGGATGATCATTCCTGGACATCCATCCACCTCCTGCCTCAAGCACAACCACCCTGCCTGAACTCTGCCTGATCCAGAGGTCTGGGATATCACCAGGGAGAAAAGCTGAAGGCCATTCCTTGGAGCAGGTGCCAACATTCCTGCTCCCTCAGGGGTTCTGCAGCCCTGAGTGGCACCAACAGGGAAACCACAAACTGGGACTGACTGCAGTGAGCAGCTCCTGACCCTGACTGAAACTCAGGAACATGTCCCAAAGCACAGTGCTGGGGTGATGGGACTGGGTTTGGATGGGATTTGGGGAAGAAATCCCTCCCTGGGAGGGTGGGGAGGCCCTGGCACAGGTTGCCCAGAGAAGCTGTGGCTGCCCCTGGATCCCTGGAAGTGCCCAAGGCCAGGTTGGATGGGGCTTGGAGCAACCTGGGCTGGTGGAAGGTGTCCCTGCCCATGGCCTGGGGTGGGACTGGACAATCTTTAAGGTCTTTTAAAGGAAAGGTGGGGAGAGACACTTGGCAACACTCAGCTCAGGGCATTTCCATGGAAACCTTGGCAAAAGGCTTCACCTTAAAGCCTGGCCCAGCCCCCAGGTGATTTCAGGGTATGGAGAAGCATTCCCACAGAAATCTCAGCAATTCTTCATCCCTTTCCATGGTATTTGGAAGTTTTCACATTGAGATGCTGCTGCTTGGGTGGGGTGGGAGCTCCTATTAAATGTTACTGGAGGACACCCTAGAGGATTTTGGGAGTTGTTCTCATCTCAGACAGGTCACATCTGGCTTTCCCAAGGGATGCAGACGCCCCATGTTCCCCCCTCACCTGGTTGTCATCCCGATCCATGCTGGTGTCATCCCGTTTCAGGATAAACCTCTGGGGGAACTCTGCATTCTTCTCATCCTTGATGTGCTCAGAGAACCTCTGCTCGGGGCTGCAGGAAAAACAACCCTTGTTAGGGGGGAAGAAACGGGCACAGAACATGCAGAGATGTTTGTTGGGTGAAATTCCAGCCCTGGCTGATGGCAACAAGAGCTCCTGGCCTTCTCTGGGAACTGTGGAGAGCCAGGGAGGGCTGCAAGGGAAGGATCTTCCCTATTTATTCATCCCATGACCTGATTCTTCTCGAGAGGGGCCCTGCTCTTCTTTAAGAGGCAAAAAAGTGTGGTGTGGAACCCATCCTGGTCTGGAGTGTTCCTGGGCTGTGGGGAAGGGAAGGGGGAAGGGAAGGGGAAAAGGGAAGGGGAAAAGGGAAGGGGAAAAGGGAAGGGGAAAAGGGGAAAGGGAAAA